ATCGGAGGCTGAAGTCATTTCATACATCCCCAAAGAGAAACCTCACATGTATTTATTTACTAATGCCATTATTTCTTTTCTTACTATGATTTTTTTTATGGCCAAATTCTGGTTACTTGTTTTTTCACAAATGACAAACAGTTTTCAACGATCATTTATTCTATTCAACTGTCGTTCAATGGATTTTCTTCTGCGTGTTTGTTTGAGTACAAGTGATTGGCTTAGTGCATGCGTAGCAATAGAAAGAATTCTTATGTCGTTTCAAGGAATTTCTTTTAATAAAAGCAAAAGTCATAAAATGGCAAGATGGATAATTTTATTAGTTTTTTCTGTAACAATATCAACACATATACATGACGTCATTTATCATAATCTAGTGGATGATAATGAAGAACAACGAATATGGTGTGTAATTACATATGATGGTTTTTCTCGAATTTTGAATTCATTTGTACTTATGTTTCATTTTACTGTGCCATTTGCGATTAATTTAATATCTGCTGTGATGATTAGTATCTTTGCTGCTCGGCAAAGAACAACTCTTTCTAAAGAGAAAACATATAAACAACATCTTTTTCTACAACTTCGTCGAAATCAACATATCATAATTTCTCCTTGTATTTTGACCGCACTCGCTGTATCTCGTTTAATTTTTTCATTCTTATCTGCTTGTATGAATTCTCCTCGTGATCCATGGCTTCTTTTTATAGCATATATTATTTCATTCCTACCGTCAACTCTCACATTTGTCGTGTTTATTTTACCATCGAAAGCTTATAAACAGGAGTTCCGAAAAGCGCTCGACCATATTTGTTTTCGATTACATTCTCATTAATAACAATAACTCACTTAGACGTTATTTTCTGTATACTTTGAAGTAATTTTAAATTGTATCATTAATTTTTTTTCACCATGTATTTTGGATTTTATTTATGAGCATATACGAGTGAAATGTAAACTCAAAGAAAATAAATCATCCTTCAATTTCTGCCAAAGATTGCTACTATATTATCATAAACTTTTCTTCCTCGACAATGACTGGGTGTGGGTGTATGGGTATGGGGTGGGGTGGGGGTATAGGTGTGGGTTTTGTTCTTCTCTTGACCCACACGAACACCCACACCCACACCCACACCCACACCCACACCCACACCCACACCCACACCCTACTGACTGACAAGTTTATTTCTATGGTCTAATCTGTATTGGCATTTTAACTCTTGTCAAATCTCTAGTTAATTTTCTTCTTTTCATTATCGAAGTCATGGCCATCATCAAAGCTGAAGTCCATTTAATGACAGTTTTTGCTTATGTTCACACGTGTCTATTCTTTTAGTCGATTGCTCGTTATTGGATCATGGAGAGTATGGGTTTCATCTTGTGGCATCTCTGTTCGTCGCTCTAATAGGTTTTATTTTGATGATAGTACTCCAAGGAAAAGGTGAAATTGCACCGTACTTGAGTCTCTAGGCTACTTGTATTGGTGCCTTTTCTGTAATTTTGGGTAACGATTAATATTGGACGTCACACCAAGAGAGCAATTGAAAACACCTTCATCATGAGTGCTAGTCAAATCGGAGGTATCATGACTTCTGAAGTCAGTTTTCTTTAGGATTGTTTCGATCATCAAGATATTCTGTTATTGTAGGTATTTCATGAAAATGACAGTCCGAGTTATCATTGGAGATATATAATTTCTATTGCAATTGTCATCACAACTTTAATAATAGCTATGGTGGTACGAATTTGTTTGGCAAGGGGAAATAGTCGTCAACAACGTTTATGCAGCAGAAAATATGAGGAGGAAGCAGCTGTCAGAGAAAGATGATATTCAAACACTACAAGTACAGCAATAAAAGTAAGCAAGTACATTAGAGAAATTTTTTATTGGTGATTGGTAAATGAATTTATCATGCGATCGGGTAAGTTCAGCTCGTCTTTTCGAAAAAGTTTTCTGAAATATGATTTCTTATTCATTTTTAGCATTCAAACTTCTGCTATCATTTATGAAACGAATCGAACCTATAAATATATTGCCTTGCTATATTGAGAGCAAAATAAATGTCGAATTTAATAGTTTTTTTTTTATTTCTTTTGAAACATGCGATGATATGTTTTTTTCGAAAATTATAACAATTATATAGCCTCTGTGTAGATGGAAGACGATGTCTTGACTCCATGATTCGTTTTTTAATACATATCTTGTCAGAAAACAGAAACTGTTATCATTTACATGAAACTTGATTCGAGTATTCAAATAAAAAGAGAAAACATTTGATTATTAGAACACTTCAAATATAATTGAATAAAAGATTAGAAAAATCTTTTCGACATATAGATTGACAAAGTCGAAATTTCTATTGAATAAAATATAATTTTAAATACCTTTAATACCATGGTTCATTTTTCTTTTTTGAGATTGTTCGAGACTATTGCGAACGTGGTAAAGATCATAACTTACAATTGAATCAATTTCAGTCCGATGCATAATTTAATTCTACAAGAGTTACACTACAAATTTGTTGTCGTGATATAAATCGAGAATTGGAGAAAAGGAAGTAATTCGGTAATGATCATATAGGTTGACTAGTTACTCTGAAAATATTCGATGCATTCGATGATGAAGTATTCAAGATAATGCAGATTAGATCGTTACAGCAGTAGCAGAATGCCTGTCAAGGAGAATTCAGGATTTTGTAGACTTATTTGTTTATTTTTTCTAAACGAGTTAATTGTTGGACACTACATTTCGATTTTTATCATCTTATTTCTCAAAAGAGATCTATCTTCCACAAGAAAAACTCTTTACAAGATAGTAATTATAGAACAGTACTATTATTGTTTGATCTGTTTAAATTTTGCTAAGAATTCTATAAAAATCTATTATATGAAAGATAATGCATATGGGTGAATCCGCCGGGTTTCTACCACCTTCAGGGAAAAAATTTTTTTTTTCAAATTTGATAGGCTAGTTAGACGTAACGTCGTCGAAAACGGTCTGAGGTAATAATTAAAATCTTTTTACATTGTGAAAGTATGACGATCCAGGTCGTTTTTTAGGAACACCTCAACGTATGTATATATACGAAATAACTTTCATATATCACATTTTGCAGCTATCAAGAACATAACCGTAGCTATTGTTTCGACTCGTGCATATCGGACCATATCATTAATGAGTTGATTTGAACGTCTTTTGAATAATGTTAAAGCATTCAATAGTGCTTTTCTGGAGGAAAACTGCATTAAGAATGAAAGAAAGGAAAATTCGACCGATGTAAGTAATATCAACTTCAGAAATTTGCAATATTACTTAGCTTGTTTTGATTATGAGAATACTTTCTTTGTAAAACTAATCTACCACAATTAGAAGGATGAATCGATAAATTGTATGTCCTATGGAACAGCCGACGAGGTATCAAATCAATGATTGAAACTTAACTTTAGCGGTAAATGTACTACTACTATCTCATTTGCTTATATAGATTTATTTCGACATTTTCTGCCATCTTTTGTACCATTTCGTCATGATAGTGGCTTTTTTTACAAACACTATAATATTTTAGATAATCCAGGATATATATTAGTTGGTTTACAATAATATATTCATTTTCTTTTTGTCCGTTACCAAGAAAGTACTGGAAAAATGCCAAGACGAAAGTTATGTCAACATCCAACTATGCATACAGGTTCTTCTTATGTGGCAACAGGTCCACGTCGAATCTCTCCTCAACTTCTCACTTTTATACGCAATCGTTATGGTTTTGAAGAGATGAATATTTATCGATTGTGCCCGCAGTGTCATTCTGTGGAAACGAAGATGATGAAGAAACAACATGAAATGGATAAAGATGATATGGATGTTAGTGATAATGAATTAAGTGGAAATAGTTCGATGGATAATGAAGGAGAAAATGATGATAATGAAGAAGTGGATGATGGAAGTGATCAGAATGATTATGATGACGAACCAAGTGAAGACGAGATGCTTCTGGAAGCCACTTATCGTGAAGAACAAGCGATGGAGCAGCTTTCTGCTGTTTTTAACTTATTAAAGATAAAACAAGTCCATGATAAGTGAGTTTTAGATATTGTTTAAGTTGAGAAAAAATTTTCTTTTTAAGATTAAATACTCATTCGATTCGGTCTAAAATTGATGAAGTTTATATATACCCCTGGAAAGTAAAAGCTGGACATGGTATTTCGAATCTATTGACACTCGAGAAGGACATTTTGGAAAACTTAATTATACCATTTGATAGCCC